AGATGCAAGACTGCTGAAGAACACATACAGAGAAACAGCCATTCTGGTGGACTACCATTTCATTTTTCCAATAGGTCAGCTATGTTCTGGATTACTAGGACTTTAGACAGCACTATTTAGATTTTCAGAAACTCTTGGTAAAGTGTAGTCGTGTGCATGCTTGAGCTTTTGGCTTATGATGTCAGCACACTGTTTTCTCCTTTTTGATTGGCCAACACTGCTGGGTTCACACTAAATGCAGAAGAGGCAAAGAAGCAAAATTCTACACGTTCATGGCAAATGCTTCTTGTATTTAACATAATTCACTTCACTCTGTTCTCATGTTTGCATTGACTTGTATGCAGTTAAATCGCAAAAATACACAATTTTCCCATTTGGTGAGAACCCAGCATGGTGTCATTATTACTCCCTGTTGGTTGGACATGCCCGTAACATGCATCACAGTGCATTTTTGGTGTTTTTATGTGGACAGAGACTTTTTTTTTTAATGAAAAAAAAACATAGTTATAGCCGTGCATGTGTGGACATGTTTCCAGAGCTTCTCCATGAGGCTCGAGCCTTGTTCAGCTCTTATGGCTTTTAGAGCAACCCAACTTGCTACAGTGACATACAATAGTAAAACCATGAACAGGAGAATTCTCAACATCCAAAAGAACTGCATTGATCTTTAAAGGCATTGAAGTTTGGGTTAGTGTTACTGTGTGTGTCAGTGAAGGCCAAGTTTAATTAAGGCTCTCACAAGCTCACAGTTTCCCTCTTCAATCTGCTCCAGCTGGCTCTCAAATAAGACGCAGACAACTAAGGCCTTCTGTGTGTGTGTGTGTGTGTGTGTGTGTGTGTGTGTGTGTGTGTGTGTGTGTGTGTGTGTGTGTGTGTGTGTGTGTGTGTGTGTGTGTGTGTGTGTGTGTGTGTGTGTGTGTGTGAGAGGGAGAAACCACTTTCATCCGGCCTTAAAAGAAAGATACTGTACAGTACATAAGCTCTTGGAAGCTGGTAATTTTTTTGAATTTCTAATCATACATTTATCCAGAACTAAGCATTTTTGTGGTGTTTATCAAATAGTATTTATCTAACTGTTTCCATATAGTACAAAGTACCATAGTATAGGTATAAAAAGCACAGATATGTCGGCATCAATAGCCATTAGGTTAAGCGTGTCGACACCTACAGTAGCACTGAGGTGCTCACAGTCACCCGAGTTTGATTCCCAGCTGATCCATTTGATTCCTTACCTATTACTCCCCTCTCGCTCTGTTCCTTAGGATTTCATGTCAATACAATCCACTGTCCTGTTCATTAAAGGTTCACTAAAAATAACACAAAGCATTCCATTTAAAATTTTAAACATTTCATTAGCCAAATAAAAAGAGTCTGCAAAACTATTAAGCATCACAACTATTTCAACATAATAACCATCATCATTTTACAATGATTTCTGCATGATCATGTGAAAGTGTATGACCATCATGAACACTGTAATAATGCCTGCTGGAAATTCAGCTTTTCAATCACATGAAAACAGTAAATTTTTCAAAAGAGCAATATGCTAAATAATTATTTGAAAAATTACAATAGTATCTCACTATTTTACTGTAATTATAATCCAATAAATGCCTTTTAAAATGAATTAACATTCAAATTTACCACAAATAAATATGCATAGTTTTTCCCATTAAAAAATCACATTGAAAGACTTTTACAGAGAGTAACTAAAATATCAAAATTATATACTATTATTTGACCCTTTTATTTCCGACTGACATGCACTGTTGTCTTTTAATCACACATACACATCTGATTAAAATAAAAAAGATTTTTTTTTTTTACTTACATGTGCCAATCACCAAGTAAATGAAAGAGAAGTTAGCCCAGGGGTCAGCAACCCGCGGCTCTAGAGCTGTATGCGGCTCTTTAGCGCTACCCTTGTGGCTCCCTGGAGCTTTTTCAAAAATGTTTGAAAATGGAAAAAGATGGGGGAGGTGAATATATTTTTTCTGTTTTAATATGATTTCTATTGGAGGACAAACATTTTTAACATTTTCAAATGTTGTAAAAGTGTGTAGAATTAATATTTAATTTCAACATTTCTGTCATTGAAGATTTGCGTCATAGCCTGCGACACACGTTTCTATAAGCAGGGTGGGATGCCAGGCAGGTGGCTGTTGTAAACAAACCAGGAAGATAATAAAGCATGGAAAACCGTTCACAGATGGTGACTACATGAAGGAGTCATTCATCAACATATTAGAACACCTATTTGCAGAATTCAAAAACAAAATCAAGATAATACAAAAAAATTAAAGATATACCTCTCTCCGCTAAGGCAGTGAAGGAAAGGGCTATTAAAATGGCAGGTAACATCACCGATCAGCAAACCAAAGACATTAATTCAGTGCCAGCATACTCAATTGCCTGTGATGTGACAGATATTCAACGCGCTTTTATGCATGTTAACTCTGATGGGCCGCAAGAAGAAATGATCAAATTAATACCACTGAAAGACCAGAGGCTGTGCAGAAGTGTTTAAATGACAACGAAATAAACACCAACCACCTTATTTCAGTGGCTATTTAATCTTGAAGGCTCATTATGTATTTATAGCCAACTTAGTCATTTTTATAGTAGGCTAATATAGCTAATATAGATTGTTACGATTTAAAAGATGTTAAATAAAGGGGAAGAGGAGTAACATTAACTTTTGGGTGAAACCATAGACTGTAAAATATATGGACGTAGTGTCCGTGACGTCACCCATAGGTTTCTGAAGAGCGCAAAAGAAGCCACAAGTAGGCGCGGCCAACCGTCGCCATTTTGGTCACGCGTCATCACACCCACGGCGGGATACCAAACAAGGGCAAAGAGGCGGAGAGTGAGCGGAGCTACAGACACCTGCTAGCATTTAGCTTGGACCTGGTTCAGACACACTTTACTTTGGGAGAAACGCTTTATACTTTATCACCTGTGACTCGTTTGTGTTCTGACCACTTGTGCTTGGTTGTACACTATATCAATAAAGTGTTTAGACTTTTAAAAACACTGCTGTAATACATTGAGCCACTAAACATTGTTCTTATGACGTTTTTCAACAGGAGGAAAACGCAAATTACTTACAAACACTTCAGATATAGTCTGTGTTAGTAAATGTAAGACTATTGATGAAATCCAGCATGACAACTGTATGACAACGCTTCAGATGACTGATCTAGAGCCTACAGCTAATCAATCTGACAGATTCTGGAGTGCATTACAGCTCTAAATATAAATATAAACGATAAATGATCTTAAATAAAACAAATACATGTACAGAGATGGTATATAAGCATATAACTTTACTCACATGGGAAACGGAGGCCACGTGAATGGTTTGTGAGCACAATTAAGTGCACTCAGCATGCCATGCCATCTAATAATTGTGGGAAACAAGTCCAAAAGGCAGTTGACTGTGTAAAGCCACATAAAACAACACAGAAATACGATAAATATGCCGAGTTCAGTGGCTAATCTGCAGGATTCAGCTGAGGTGACGTGACGGCGACCAGCGAGACCTAGCTGTCACTCAAGTGGCCACTCCCTTAATTATGCAAACTTAATATAACTTAATATAAAGGAAACGGATAAGTTTTAAAAAAATTCACCCCCCTCACAGTTGTCATGAAGGGTAATATTAGCTGTATTAACCAAAATCTTTTTTTGTACCAGGCTGTAAACACCTTTTTTTCTGCTGTAAAGTTGGCCATTCTAACAGTGGGCTCAATTGAAATTTGCTCTGTTTTGGAGCCAGGAGCGGCCAGGACTAGCGGAATTTCGGATGAATTGCAGTTTTAGTTACTTCCGTATTGGCTTCCTGAGGGAGAGCAGGAGGTTGCCGCTTGGGTGAAACACATAAGCAACCACACAACATCAATAAATGAGGGACAAAAACCAAGACCAGCTAAATGCAATACGTGATTTTATTTACAAAAATAGTGATAATAATGAATGCCAAAAAAAATGTATATAGAAAGATTCTTGAATATTTACAAAGAGACATTGAATTTCACAGATAACAAATGACATAAGATGTTTGACCAGATATGGGAGAGTTGGAGAAATGAGACGCGGGCGGCATCCAAACAATAAAAATAAATAAAACAAAAGCAATCTATTTGGCCCAATCTCTACCCTATCTATCCAAAATAAAAATGCAGAAGTTATTGAAAAGAATCTTCGCGTCTAATACGCACTACCTAACCTACGCTGATCTCTGATGGGAAAACAAAAAGTACAGTGGGTGGAGCACGCCCCTTACCTAGTGTGTCTAATACAGAGAAATTCAAACTACTTGTGCACAATGTATGTCGCACGACATTCTTACCTGTCCCACTCTCCAACCTCAGATGCGCATGACATCGACGGTAGACAAATGGAGAACAAATAACTGACAGATACCAAATTGTAACACACAGTAGACATATATCAAAAAAAACAGACACACAGCACAACACAGAAATTCAGGGCCTCCAGAGTAGCGTCCTGTCACCACTTTTATGCCACGGTGGCAGCGGCTGGATTGGAGACCTTGGGTGACGTCAAGGGGGCACGGCAAACAGCTGGGCAGCGGTAGCCAATCGGAGCCACTGTATAGGTGGAAGCGGGAGAGAGGTAGAGAGCAAGCGAGCACGGAGAGAGAGAGAGAGAAAGAAAGAGACTAGCGAAAAAAAAAAATATATATATATATAAATAATTACGCAACACAGAAATGTACAGGAATGTAACATAGATAAATACAGCATGTGTTTCCTTCATTATAAGGCTAATATAAGGCTTAACATTTTTTGCGGCTCCAGACATATTTGTTTTTTGTTTTTTTTGGTCCAATATGGCTCTTTTAACATGTTGGGTTGCAGACCCCTGAGTTAGCCTAGTGCTGAAGAAAGTGAAATGCTGTATGCTTGAGCTGTCTGTGTTCCATCTATGTTCACATGTTTATCAGCATGCTTTCCTCTATTTCTCTTTTATAGGGTATCATCACTCCCTTCCCTCCTCCCCATACACTGCAGATTTCAAAGGTCACAGGCTACCGCCATCAGGGACGTTATCAACAGAATTCTTGAATCATGGGGGCTCTTCAAAAGTCCTTCTCTTAATCTGCAATGTTGCTGGCTCTGGCCAACAGGCTACAAGGTAACTTAAGCACTGTGTCTTATCACTGTCTTGTTGGTCATCTTTTTCTTTTTGTCAGTTAAACCATTTAAGTCCAGTTTTAAGTCCTTTCTTGGAGGTTCAAGGTGAGTTTAGGTGAGTCGGAGCAGTGACTCAGTTAAGTATTGTTTAAAATTAATCCTGGCCTAAAATATTGTGTGAACTTGACTGACTTGCATACTTAACATTGAAAGATCATTTAAACAATATTATTTTATTACATTATATGTTTCTGTTCACCTGTTTAATGCAAACTTAAGGGCAGGGTTTTCCAAACTTGGTCCTAAAGGGCCAGTGTCCTGCAGATTTTTGCTAAAAAACTTGCCTCAACACACCTGCACAGAGGTTTCTAAAATACCTAATAAAGAGCTTAATTAGCTAGTCCAGGTGTCTGTTTGGGGTTGGAGCTAAACTTTGCAAGACACTGGCCCCCCAGAACCCCTGCTTTAGGTTAATATATAAAATCATAGACTTGTATTTCATTGCAGACAATGTGAACACAAAATATTTCATGTTAACTTCATTTGTAAATATACATTGTTTCCTGACATTCAGACCTGCAACACACTACAAAATAATTTGTAACAGGAGCAATTTAGGGCTAGTAATCAGGTAAATTGGTCAAATAACGATTGGTCAAATTGGTCAAATAATGATGACTTGAAACAGGTGGTATCAACAGGTACTGTAAATATAATAATGATTTGGTACAAAATCAGCATCCAAAATGTTCTAATCCTTTAGGAGCAAACTTTGGCTATTTTGGACTGCTTTGGAAAACCAAGTACCACAATATGTTGTTACATCCTCAAATATCAGTGAAAATTGTACTATGCTGAAAGGAAGCCCTATGTTAACAGTGTTCAGTGCTGTTGACTTCTCTGGGCTCGGAGGCATCTGGGATGGATAATATTATGGGGTTGTGTCAGTGCACTTGGCAAAGGTAACTTGCACTACTGTGATGGCACCATTACTGCTGAAAAGTACATAAGAGATGTTAGAGCACAATGCTGCCTTCTTTTTCAGGTACACCCATGCATATTTCAACAAGACAATGCAAAACCACTCCAACCAAATCTTCACCTCACTTATTCAAGGAATCAGCAGGCCATGGCTCCATAGTGAAATGTCAAACGCCCACACCATCCTCACCACCCCACTGCAGTCCCTTCAGCTCAACCAAGCATGCCTCAACCAATCGTTTGATATCTCTCTTCAAAGCCTGTTTTTTTAATAGCAATTTGATAATGGCTTTCAGTAACCAGTAGCTTGTCTTTTCTGCACTGCTCAACTTGTTTTGAGAATAAAGGCCTGTAGATCAAATGCTGCCATAATGCCTGAAATGCCTAAACAGTTAAGTGACTGTAAACAGCATCATCTCTCACAAACACACACATACACTGCCCAAATCTCAAGATATACATGTGGATGCATTTATGGTTTCACTTCCAAATGATTTGGGAACCTTTTAGATCCCGGGCGAACCCCCATTTATTGTTATGATCTCAAAGGTGGTCAGTCAAGGGGGAGGAGAGTAACATTCATTTTGGATACACATAAGCAAACACACAATATCAACCAGTGAGGGAAAAAATGCCACAAATAACTAAAAACAAAAAATGAGTTTTATTTACTAAACATAGTGATAATACGTGCAAAAAAAAATGTATGTATATATAGAACAATAAATATCTACAAAAAATATGTTGAAAATCAAAGGCAACAAATGGAACACAAAATGTTTAAACAGGTAGATGGGAGAGTTAAAGAAATGAGGCACGGGTGGTGTCCAAACAATAGAAATGATGAAAACAAAACAACCTATTCTAATGGCCCGGTTTCTGGATTCTGAATTTATACCAAAATGTAACACACTGGTGTGATTGGAGACACTATGATGACGTCAAGAGGGACACAGCAAACCGCTGAGCAGCATGAGCCAATAGGAAGCAACTGTAGATATGAAAGCAAGAGAAGAAAGAGACTAGCTAAAGGAGAAAATAATCATGATCTCAAAACAACACGGGGACATAACACTGGACATATTACAATGTCCTGGCTGTGGAGGAACAGGATACAGGTACTTGACTGGCCTGCCTGCAGTCGTGACCTGTCTCCGAATAGAGAATGTGTTGTGCGACAATGAAAACCCCGTACTGTTGCCCATCTTAAAATTGTTAGCAGGAAGAATGGGCCAAAATTAAACCTCAAACAATACATCACTTGCTGTCTTCAGTTCCTAAACATCTTTTAAGTGTTGTAAATAGGAATGGCAACATTACAAAGTGATAAATGTTTTACTGTTCCAACTTTTTTTTAAATGTGTTGCAAAAACCAAAATTTGGAATACGTGTTTATTAAAAAAACAAACACCATGAGGAACACAATAAATAATGTGATGTTGTATTGTCTGCTATGAAACACAAGTCAAAGTAAATTTAGAAATCACTTCTTAGCCCCCTTAATATTTTTTCTCTGTTTGGCTACAAAACAATCCACTGTTATCCAAAGACTTGCCTAATTATTCTAGCTTAAAAAGAAGATCCAAATCTAGTTACTTTAAACTAAATACTAGTAGTAGTCTAAAAAAGTGTCGTAAAACTTTTCTCTTTTATACAGCACTTAGGAAATAGTATTTTTACAAATGTAAGTTTCACAGTTGGGCTAATTATATTGCCTTCACTGTTTATTTACCCCGCACACATTGTTCCTTGAGTCGTCATTTAGAGTTGTAGAAAGACATTAATTTATACAAGTTGGATCAGTCAGCGGTATCAGAATTATTAATCCAAGCAAGTGTAGTGCAGCACAGGAATGCTCTCTCCTGCTCCACCTGCAGCTCCACTGATCATCTGCACTCTGGGGAGAGTTGCATCTGCCACAGTCTTCCCCACTAACCTCCAGCTGTCAGTCAAACATGCACACACACACACACACACACACACACACACACACACACACACACACACACACACACACATACATACACACACAGCCTGGCTCCCTTAGCCACGGACACTGGGCTGTGGGTGGAAACAGTTGACGGATATTCCCCTGAAACACCTACAAATGTCAAGATGACATTTTAGGGCCTAAGGAAGGGTGGGGGAAAGAGAGAGAGAGGAAGTGATGTGCTGCACCATAATGGCAGATACCTGCAGTTTCTGGCCCAAATTTGATCAAAAAACAGCCATTATGCTTGCAATAAAAGATTAAGGAGTTGTATAAAAAGCATAGGTTTAATATGTTCAGAGGTGAAGGTGAATTGGTTACAGTATTTTAACTTCATTCTTTTCCTTTTTGTGCTGAACAAAATGTGCAGCAAAAAAGAAAAACAAATCTATTTGTTTGTTATTTGAATCCCCCAACAACCCCTTTACCCCCTTGCAGCTTTAAAAACATTCAAACAACAGTCTGAAATAAACGTTAGCTTGGGTCATGTGTAGCTGTAAAAATTACTTTGAAAGTGTGTGTGGAAAGCTATTTGTTTGTTTGTTTGACGATTATGCATTATAATGCTTTACCAGATTACAAATAACAAACAACTGCAACTTATTCTGCAACTTAAATCCCCCCATTTAGACTGTCAAGCTGGCCTACTACTACAAGAGTATGGGGATTCATGTTTTTTTGGAGAGTTATTTTCACAATTAACCCGCAGGGGTCTAAAGCAGGTCGCACACCAGAAGGGCAGCTCGGCGACGCGTCGCGTAGTGCCACGCAGCGCCATGCATTTTAGAATTCTAAACATAGGTTTCTATCAGGTCTGTGGCTGTCGGCGGCGTCCAGCCATGACTCAGGATGCTGTTCATATTTCAGCCGCGCCACAGAGTGCCATCTGATTAGTTTTATGTTAAATATCGTGCGAATGTGCGCGCCTGGTGTGTGATACTTTAAACTATCATGTGCGCTGTGCCAAGCGGCACTTCTGGTGTGCGACCTACTTAAGGGTGTTTTTGGGCTCTGGAGAAGTTTTGACATGCACTCACATTTGTGTTGTTTTCAGTATCTTAAAAACATATTAATTGCTAATAGTGATAACACTGTAAACTGCAGAAGCTGGGCTACAATAATACCTAAGCAGCATGTATGTACGTGTTTGTGTTTTTGAGAAAGAAACGTTTATGCGTGGTTAGTCAAAAACTAAACTTTTTAAATCACTGAGGGCGTGAAACACATAAAGAACATTTGTTCACAAGACTTTAGAGAACTGGATCTTGTAGCCTAGTGTTTTTGCTTCAAAATCATGTGAAAACAATCTTGTTTAGTTGCTCAAAAAACAATATAATGAGTCAAATTTCACTTTCACTTTCAAAAGTCATTTTCTGAGTGAAAATGGTCAATGCGAGAAAGCGTGAGCTGTTACTACTAATACAGTGATTCACACCTGAGAAGAAAAAGACCTGCATAATGAGCTGCATAATGAGCCATCAGACAGGTATGCGACTTAAGGCTCATTTATACATCTGCGTCAAACACCGGCGTATGCTACGGCGCTGACGCATAGCCCTTCGCCGTGGCCGTGGCCGTCACTGACGTGCACCTCTCAAAAAACGTAACTACACGTCGCAACAACGCGTAACGCAAGTTCTGTGATTGGTCGGCTTGGTATCGCTGACGAGTCGGGGCAGGAACGAGAGCCGCGCGAATGGCGCGAACCCAATGTAGCGATTGTTTACAAGTGTGGAGTCCTGTGAAGGAGCTCCGGATGGAAAGTTTTGTTTTGTGTTTACCTCATTGTTAAAGTTACTGCTCGTCCACCGGTTCCTGCCTCAAAATGAGCGAGTTTGAGCCACTTGTACATTCCGGAAGTGTTCAGGAAATGCGCGTTGCCTGTGCCGTGGGTTACGCCTGTCACTTGACGCAGAAGTATAAATGAGGCTTAAGAGGGAAGAGTTTCAAGAAAGTATCTGAGAAACTAACAAGTTAGCATTTTTTTTCATTTTATTTAAAATACAATTTACAATTTGAAATAAAACTCT